CATGATAGTTTAGGTGCCTGGAATGTAAAATCCCATCTCCCCAAAACAGATGAAAGAAGATATATATTGTTTTCTGCAGAAGATAATAACACTATTCATGGAAATAATATTTTATAAGCAAAAACCAGGCAGGTCTTTGCACTGAAGGTAACTTACATTATAAAACCCATAGTTCAGGAAACCATAGAGAAGATGGGGAGGGGAAGCCAGAAAAAGAAGGGATGGTCAGAGCTGGGAATGTCAATTGAGAGATTAAGGCATAGATCTTGAGGAAAAGCTAGGATTTGAACAAAGATAGGCAACTTCCTGGGATTGTAGAGCTGTACTGATTTATTCCCCCCACCCAAATGAAATCCAAGCTGCGGCAATTTTCTATTGTTGCAGTAATCACCATAATTCAGTTGAAATTGTGATGGTCCTTTGTGATATCAAGGGGTACAAGAGCCTCTTCATCCATCATAGCACCCTGCCTGGAAGGAACTTTGTAAAAAGGAAGTACAGTTGACCCTTCATATTAGAGAGTTTGACTTTGTAGATTTGATCATTCATAGATTTGATTAAAAATTTCCTAGGAATATCCAGGTTCTCCTCTTGAGCGATTCCTCTGGAAGTTGGCCATAGAGTCATGCTGGAGGATCTAGAGATTCCTACAGAGATTTTTCTCAGGTATTTGTTGTTTTCTCTCTTTCGCAGGGCGTCCTGTGCCCCTAACTCCAGTGGATGTGGACCGTTTTTAATGTATTGCCTCCAGTTTTCAGCAGGTTTGATCCTGTAGTCACCAGCAGCTGATATTGATAAGCCCTCATTGTGATTGAAGCAATTGGGGTAGCGGAGATATAAAAACAGGTTAGACAGTTATTTTCAGCTCCTCGGCTATGTGTTTTCCACTCCTGATTTTGAAGGAGGATGTGATAGCTGTGGAAGAGGTTGGCCCTATGTCTATGTTTTGGAAAAGACTCCTGTACCTTAGGATTCCTGGACGAAACTTACAATGTCCATGAAATAGCTATCCATAACATTAGCTGCTCTCTTTTCATTTGCCTCTTTATGCTTCACTTCAATTTCTTCAGTTGCTCAAGTGCCACATTTTTTATCCCACCTCAAACCCACATTCTGAATCTTATAAAGTGGAACAAATTGTGCCAAGCAATCCCTGAGGTGCGAGTACAATTCACTTGTGTGGTATATATTGAGCCCAGCATTTGGGTGGAGGGGTTATTTTGGTCCAGAGCACATTTTGGTGCTCTGAGCTTGTAAATGACAAGGAACGAGGCTTAGGAATTGGCACAGGTCCCAGCTGCTGGATCTTTTCTCTTTCTATCCAGCACAACCCCGCTCTTCAGCCCGAACTGGTAGACCTGTGTTTGTCATTCCTTGGCAAAATCATATTTGCAAAACACTTTGCTGTCCCTTGCTGCCTGCCACTAGGGACCATCTCTTGCTGTTTTCCGCTTACTGGGGCCTGGGACATGCTGTCCATGGAAAAATAACACTCATCAGAGAAAGCAGGAGTGAGAACGGGACAACTACCTGGCTGCCATTTATAGAAGTCTGAGTAAATGCCAATTTCAAAGGCAGCCAAGCCTGGGTGTTTATGTCCTTCTTACATTTGTGAAGGGATGGGTTATTAAATGCCTGGTGTCCATTTGGCACAACTGCCTGACATCATAATTACTGTTTCGGATCTCTGCCAAACAGTCAATGAAGACAATGGGAGCAGCAGATGCGTACAAAGAAGTGGGAGTTGCCACGTCGAATGCCGTGTAAGACAGCAAGGTGACAATGTTTAAAACAGAGCTGAGCTGAAATTTCACAGGAGATTTTTTTATTCTGGTAAAAAAATGCCTGGGATGTTTTTTGCTGCCACTAATCACTCCTTGAAAAAGAAGATCACTTTACAAACTTTTCTCTGACTATTCACCAGTCCTGTGGTGGCTATCTTCTTCTCTTCTCCTGCTTGTAAACACTTGGAAAATGTTATAGAGGGATGCTAGGCCCTCAAAAGTGAATAAAGATGGAATGCTAACATAATTTCAATGTAACAAATACAAAACAGAAAACATAAGAGAAAAAGAAGATGTGGGGAAGTTTTCCCTGCTAATTGTGGACCTCTCTCCCTAGAAAGTGCTGGAAAATTTATACTCCCATGAAGAAACTGAGATAAATTCAATTCTTTTGCATATAATCAGGGTGTAAAAGTTCATCTGATGAACATGATCTGATGAATCTGATAGAGTGGAATGGGTACTGGAAAATATTGAAATATATCACTTGGTCTCAATGGTGTTTCCAGGTGCCTCTTTCACCTTTCTTTTCCTTCCTTTGGGGAAAGATACAAACATGACTATCTCTTTGCAAACTGGACAGTTGTATTCAGTTATCCCATAAAAGTCTATGGACATAAAGATATTCTACCTTTTTTGCATGAAATGTAGTTGATTCCCATGATGTTAAAAATGTACACCACCAAGCTTTCTCATTTGAGTTGCATGCAATTAATAGATCCGGGTTTCACTCCTACACACAGTAGGGATACCTCATTGAATACAATGGGGCCTACTTCTGAGCATACATGCATTCAATCATCTTCTTTGTGTATTGCTTTTACTACATGGTGGCTTCATAGTTTAAAATCTTAGCAATAGTGCCTTCATCTGTATTTTTTTTATTCGCTGTTATTACCATACTATGAACCATTTGTTCACTTGACCTAAAACAAGTGTACTTCTGTCAACTATTGGAATGTGCAACCTTATAAAACATCAAGGCTTCAGCTTACATAATACACCAAAGGGTCAGAGTAATCATTAACCTTGCCCCCTTTTCAGTTCACTTTGTTCTCAAGTAACCTGTTTGCTTGGATTAAACATATAGCAATATCTTAGAGGAGGAAAAACAAGTCCACAGCTGTAGCATTCCTGAAGGAAGCATGTAACACAAGGGAGAAAAGAGAAGGGTACCAGGAGGGCCAGTCTTGAACACAGGCATTCCCGAGGAAGCATCCTTCTCTTTCCTTCCAGGGAGCCCCAATAGATTTGCAAGAGAATGACACTAATAATGCACAATTTATTAACCATAAAATCTAGAAGACTTATGGGGAATATTTCAGTACAAAAGGACAATTCATGGCATTTGATTGGCACATCCATCTCAAAGACATGCACATATTTTTCAAAAGAAAAGATGGCTGTCTCTGGACTATATACTGATACATCCCCATCCCACACCAGTCTTTGACCATGTTGGCTGGCTGTGGAACAAAAAGAGGGGACTGGGAGATAGCAAGAGAAAAAGAGAAAGGGAAAGAGAGAGGAAAAGGGAGGGAGATATGGTGGATGCAGGCCATCGTATCATTTAGAGCAATGGTTCTCAACCTGTGGGTCTCCATGTGTTTGGACCTACAGCTCCCAGAATTCCCAGCCAGTTTACCAGCTGTTAGGATTTCTGGGAGTTGAAGGCCAAAACTTCTGGGGACTCACAGATTGAGAACCACTGATTTAGAGAAAGGCAGGGAGTAAAGTACTGGCATCATGACTTATGGGATACGGTTGCAAGGTTTCAGGGCTTGGTTTTCTGGTCCCCATGATAAGTTGAGTGGAAGGAACGGTATAATTTATTACTCTGTAGCAAAGTATCTTGGGCCAACAATGCTATGCAAATTCACCCAGATCTATTTTGATCTATAAATATTTTAGAAACCCAACATATAGTAAAAATGAAACCCTTTACCACACTGCAGCTAATCACATAAGGATATGATCCATTGTGATGTCTACTGTCTAATATCTCTGAATATCAGAAACCTGTTTTACTGGACCTTGAAAAAATATGTTGATTATATGGCTGTTAGAAGTTGCTAGTCACAAAAAAACCTCTTTCCATGAGGACTGGTCAACTTTTAATGACTATTTTTACCCTGAATCACACCTGCTTTCAGAAGATGTTGATCTGTAGATAGCGTTCTTTGTTGAAGCTAATGACTCTCAGAAAACTATGCACCTTGTCCAGATCCTGAGCCTGATTTGAGAATAATTTATTATTAGTTTGAGTTTGTTCCTGCAACTCAATACATATGGCTGTAGCAGATTCTTATATATATATATATATATATATATATATATATATATATCTGGATATATATGTATATATATATACATACATATATATATATATATATATATATATATATATATATACATATATATATGTAACTCTGGAATTTAGGTCAGGGTGATAATGTCTGGCTTAAGGGCACCCACTGAACTTCACATCCTAATGGTGGACTTCAAAAGTCCCAGTCCAGCACTCTAACCATTATTCCACATGGTAGTGGGTCTGGCTGTAGCAGATTCTTGTATGTATGTATGTATGTATGTATGTGTGTATATATATATATAGATATATTTATAAGAATATTATTATTATATAGCATTATATATCTATATATATATATATATATATATATATATATATATATACACACACACACACACACAACACACACACACACACATACATACATACATACATACATACAAGAATCTGCTACAGCCAGACCCACTACCATGTGGAATAATGGTTAGAGTGCTGGACTGGGACTTTTGAAGTCCACCATTAGGATGTGAAGTTCAGTGGGTGCCCTTAAGCCAGACATTATCACCCTGACCTAAATTCCAGAGTTACAGTAATGACAAAATCAGAAGGGAGGCGTCCTATTCCTGTTCGTTGGAAATGGAGGCAAGATACAAAGATAACTAAGATATATTACTCTTCCTTCTACTATTACTACCGTTGCGTTATTTACATATTTACATCCTTGTGTTTTGGCTTCTACAACATTAAATTCTACCCACTGATTAATTAAATTGTTAATTAATTCTTCAAAAATGGCACTCAAGACATTGGTATTGCCAGCACCCCAGATCTACTTACTGTCCATCAGGCTACTTCATAAATCTCATTTGTTGGCATATTAGAAACCAAAGAAAACATGAAACATCTTTTCTAAAATTTCCATTTTTGTTTTATTGTCAAAGTAAATATATTTTATGAAGAACAAAAGAAAAATATACAGATTGTAACTTATGTACATTGGCTTTAAAGATATTTTTGCTTCCAATTTACACAATTTCATATGTTATTAAAAGATAGTTTATATAGATATGTAGTATGTACAGTTTTATTTACATACATTCATAGGATGTGAGATAAAAACCTGTTGACAGAAGGGTCATTTACACTTATTTCGAGAGGACACAAGGAATGCATTCCTAGAGGAAAGTAATGGAGCTCTTGTTCTTAACATGACAACATGGGACTCCATTTGACCTACTAATACTAGAATTGCAGTGTTTTATTTCCTCAGTTGGCTTACCAAAAAGTAAAAAAGAGGGGGAAAGACACAAGGCATTATTGTATAGAGATGTTCATTGCAACAAACTCTTATCCAAACCAATGGAACTTAAATTGTTTGCAGCTAATTCTGTCCTGCTGCTTTCAGTGGGATCATGTAAGAGCTTATGTCTATATTTTGCTTATAGACACTATCAAGGATGAAAAAGATGTGATGTCCTTTATATATACATTTTTTTTTAAAAAAAGTCATTTCTTATTAACAGATTCTATTTTGCTAGGAAGCTTCATACAATCAGCAAAGTACAGAAAGAAGAGGACAGAGGGAAGAAAGTGTTGCTTCACGCAATAATTCTGCATCCAGCATCTGCTTATATGTATTTACTTATTTTTATATATATACGTATGCATATATTCTCTTCTGAAAGCCCTTGACAGCTACCATGCTAGCTGGCTAGAACACTCCCCCGAGCTGCACCGTTCTCTTGACAGTGGCCTGTAAGGAGACTCCACGCTTGGGCACCACTTGCCTCCAAAGGCGCTAAAAGTGCTTTTGCAAAACATTCACTAAGTCTTAAGTTCTCTCATCCCAGGCACCAGGGACAAGGATTTAATTCCATATTGTAAACATGGGGAAATGGCACTCAAATATATTTACAGAGCCTGAATTAAAAAACCAAACCAAAAATTACAATCGGCCCTCCACATTTGCAAGTTTAGTTTTTGTGGTTTTACTATTTGTGGATTTGATTAACATGCTTGCTCTAGCAATCTATGGTCAACCTAAACCAGAAGTTGGCCATACAGTTTCACTGGTGGACCTAGAGGTGCCTAAAGAAAACAATTCTCTAGGTATTTGTAGATCGTCCAGCTGCTTCTATCGTCAACGTCCTGTGGAGGACATATGACTGTCTCCTAGAGCGGTGTTCACTCAGATTTTCAAAAGTGTTTGTTTTCATTCATAGGTTTTCCCTTTTGCACTAATCCTGAGCCTTTAATTTCCATGAAAAGAGAGGGTCTACTCTAGTTCTAGCTTAAAGGGCCGTCCCCAAAGTAGTTAGCTATTGCTATCATTATTTTTAAAGCAATGGTTTCATTGCTCACTTCTAAAATGCAATCCAAATAATTATCACATAGGTAGGGTTTTTGAAAAAATAATCTCAATATTACAAGCTGCTGGTAAAAAAACATTCTTCTCCAGCCTCCCTCCCTGATACATCAACACTCAGGACAGAACACAAAGAACAGAACAAGACTGCATTCCAAACATATTATATCTTTCCTCCACTGTTTAGTGATGCTGCACTCCTATCATAGAAGTAACCTGTAAACATTACAGTATGATGGCAAAATGGGTAAAGCTATTCCCTGTGAGCTGCTGAACTTGCTGACTGAAAGGTTGGTGATTCGAATCCAGGGAGTGGGGTGAGCTCCTGCTGTTAGTCCCAGCTTCTGCCAATCTAGCATTTTGAAAACATGCAAATGTGAGTAAATAAATAGGTATTGCTTCCATGGGAAGGTAACAGCGCTCCATGCAGTCATGCCAACCACATGACCTAGGAGGCATCTATGGACAGCTTAGAAATGGAGATGAGCACCACCCCCCGGAATCAGACACGACTAGACTTAATATCAAGGAGAAACCTTTACCTTTATCCCTTGTGACATTATAACCTTTATGTAATGCAGCTACAGTTCTGTTATTGGGGAAAGGAATTAATTATGTGTTTGTTATTTCTAATTAGTTACTTGCCAGGTCTGTTTGTTCACCTTTTAGTCTGTAAAGACACTAAGTGACCACAATGGTGGTGATTAGAAGTCCTTGATCACTTTCAAAAAGGTCAGAAGTAACACCCCGGCAGAAAGGGTAGAAGGGGTTTGTGCTTCTTTTAGGTTTTCCTGCGATGGACTAACTTTTTGTAGTTTGTCAATCTACCCAGAGAAGGAGACAATTCCTTTTTTGATAAAAAGTTACAGTATTCATATTGACCTGTGGATATGTTGACTCAGGAGTTTTGAAATTTCTAACTGGCAAGGGGTTGGCCTGGATGGCCCATGTGGTCTCTTCCAACCCTACAGTTCTATGATTCTATGACTTATACATGAGGATAAAGGGTAGTCATTGGGCAAGAAACACAAATTCCTCTTCTTCCTCCCTTACCCTATTCCAATGTTTGATCATTCCCGCCCTGCCTTTGTTTCATGCTGAGAGAGTAAACATGGAAAATGGCAGAACAGGATGGAACAAGGAGGAAAAGAGCCACAGAGTGAAGAGCAGAAACAACTGGTGGATCAATGGTCCCGAAAGACTATCTTGGTTTTATGCTGTGGTTGGGAGAACCACAATTCTGATTGAAATCACAAACTCTGATTACAAACAGAACCCTATTTAAACTGTCTTCTGTCCATAATCATAATTACAATTTGAAAAGTAACTTCCAGACTCTTAGGTTCTGCACTTTCTCCCTGCTCATTGGGGGGCTTTGGGAGTTCGTTCAAAAAAGTAACTCTTTCAAACTCTACTGGTTAATGCACATGCACACACATAATCTTCCAGAATGGCTTCTTGCTTTTCTGCTTTTGATAGTTGCTACCATTTTCATCTAATGGGAATGCCTCGCACTGTTGCCATCTCAACACTGATAACAACAAAGCACCTCACTCCACCCGCCAAATAAAGGAGTTGTTTCCATTTCAAAAGGAATTTGCTGTTTCCAAACTGGACAACTGCAATGAGATTTTTTAAAACAAAACAAAACAAAAGCTTACATTGAATAGCCCTGTACATGAGCAAAGCCCCCAGGAATGCCAAACCTATAATTAGCTAGCAGCAAGTAGCCCATAAATTATCATGGTGCTGGAGAAAACAGCTAAAAATAAAACACTGTAATTTTCAAAGGAAGCAGCAGCAGTGGAGAAAAGGAAAGGAACAAGGAAAAGGTGTACGGAGGGGAGACAACAAGTAGGATGTATGTGTGAAGTCATGGCATCAGCTGTTAGGTTGAGACAAATAAATTATTGTGTGAGAGAAAGGTACTGAAGGCAAAGCACCTGCTCTTGGACAGACAGATGAAAAGGAGCAAGAAGGCAGGACACATCAGTTCCCTGAGCGCATAGATCGGCTGCTTCTAGGAAATCGGTGGACTTTGACGTGTTTGGACAAGTGGTCGCTTCGAGCAAACTTCTTTTCACACACAGGACATTGGTAAGGCTTCACTCCAGAATGCGACCGCCTATGTCGAGAAAGCTCATCCGATCGCGAGAATCTGAAAGTGAAGGAGGAAAAACTATCAGCTGGTTTCTTTCAGATTTGGGGAGGCTCTCAAAACATGCAAAAATATAATTAAGAATATTTGGTATAGTATAATGGTTGGAAACACTGGGCTCTGGGCATCTAGGAATACAACTCCCATACTTTTCTGCCATGGGCCTAAATACGCTAAAGACATCAAATCCTGTCTGATCTTGGAAGCTAAGCAGGTATTGGTCCCAGTTAGTACACAGGTGAGAAACCACCAAGGACTACTTGGTGCTGTAGACTATGTTTCAGAGGGAGGAATTGGCAAAACCACCTCTGAACATTTTTTGTCATAAGGCAACAGGTCACTGAAAAATACATTTTCACACAATGTCCTGCCATTGGTGATGCTGGGTAAGTCGTAAGCCAACATATCTAGAAGGTCAATGGTTCCCCAACACTCACACAGTACTGTAAAAACACTTTTGGAAGAAAATACAGTATTTACATACATTACATACATTATTCTGTTCTGTCCTTACAGTAAGGACATCACATAAAAGTATTCTTTAAATATTGTGAGCAGAGAACACAAAGGCAATAAAACATTGGCTTGCTTAAAACCTCCTGTGTTATCTTCTCAAACAATCACTTTTTATTTGAGCAATAGATTTCTTATATTTTCTGTTGTTTGCACTGACAGGAGGTGTGTGAGGAATCAAAAACTTCTCTTCTTAGTGAGATGGAGCACTGTAGTACTGAGATCACTGCTAGACTACTTTTCAGAAGTACAGTAGTCTCTGAAGTCAAGCTGAATTTGTACCAAGAACTATCTGTAACCACTACAGGACACCAACAATGACATGAAACCTTTGCCTATCTGTCTGTTTCATGCACATATACACATACTATGTCAACAGTGAACTTCTATCAGAATAAAAATGCCACCCCATTATTCCCTGCCACTACAACTTCATATCAGAAACATCTGGAGGTTTAATCCAGCAGATGTAAAACCTACACAACGTTTTCTTCAAAAGGGATTTGTTAAACCTAGGCCCCTTCCCAACTCTGAACATCTAAACATCCATTATCCCTTTGCTTCCCACTCACGTTCCTAATGCATATGGTTTGCAAATATTGTTGTCTAATCTATTGCTCTTTCTAGTAAACAGTGGTTAGGGTCAGTTGAAGACTGGTGCACAAAAGCAGCTAGCAAGCAAAATACTGTGTTGATGTCTTCCCCTCCATATACATATGTAAAAAATTATCTAGAGACAGAGATGCACATGCACCATCTAGACGGAGAACCCCACCACCACCACCACCACCACCACTATCACTACCACCACTACCACCCTCCTTTGCAATGGCAACTGAAGGAATCTGGAGATAATTCTTCCAAATGTTTGGTGAAACATAATCCTTAGTGTCAGCTACACTGAAGCAGCTGTCTGCCATCAAAGGTACTTAAAAACAGCTGTTTCATATCCATTGATCCTAATTTAGAATAGAAGGAGACAGTATTGTCGCATGCCGCAATCTCAGCAGTATCTTCATCAAAACAGAGCTCAATTAAATAGATGTTCATACACCCAGGGAGGAAAAGGTGACCCTGAGAAAATTAAGATCTGAATGAAAAGGGGTAGGTAATCTGTCTTCCACTGCAAAATCCATAACTTCTGATCACTGGATGTGCTGGCTGTATTTTTAGGAAATTATCATTCAAACCCATCTGAAAAACAAAGGTGATCCACCTTTAATTTACAGGAATCTCCAAACACAAAGAACTATAGAGGGTAGTTGCTTTGGCTGCTATTTGACTTACTGCCTCTGGGGAGAGGAGGGGTTGTATCTAGTGAAAATTAGAGAGAGCACCTATATCTTTAATTAGAATCATAGAATCATAGAATCATAGAATCAAAGAGTTGGAAGAGACCTCATGGGCCATCCAGTCCAACCCCCTGCCAAGAAGCAGGAATATTGCATTCAAATCACCCCTGTACAAATCACCCAGTACAAAGATTGTTGTATAAAAGAGAAAATTTCAGCAGGAGTTTTTGTTTTAGCCACTTTGAGTCCCTTTCAGGGTTGATAATGCAAGACATAGATAGATAGATAGATAGATAGATAGATAGATAGATAGATAGATAGATAAAATAAATGTAACACAAACAGTTGTGGAAGGCTTCATCATGCCATTCTATATGTTCTATTTAAAGCTGTCTTTCTAGCTTTTGAGATCTAGCATCAAGAAGCCAGGTGCACACAGCTCTAGCTGAAACTCCTCTGAAAAAATCCAAGTGACACATAACATAAAATGCTGGCCCTTTGAACAGTGGTGTCACAAAATGGGTGGCGGCCAAAACAGGAGCAAAGATTGGCACAAAGAAGAATTCCTAAGAAATATAGTCAGCTGCTTGTTTATAGTAAATAAATTAAGTCATGGTCATTTGGTACAAGCAGAAATTAAAAGAGAGGGGAAAACCTGTGCTAAGTGTTAGCATCAGAAGATGTCATACTTTGTTCAAAAGGCAATGTTAATTTTTCTCAACTAAAATGTAGGACTTCTCCCATTGCAAAATCTGGTGCAAGGTTACTGATGATTATTTGATTCTTGAATGTATTTTTTATGATTTAATTCATTTCTTCAAACTCAAGGTAGACTAAAGTTCCCATTTTTTTGACTCCAATAAAATTTCAGGGAATGGCATAGTGGCTTGAGTGTTAGACTATGACTCTTGGCCCATCCACACAGCCATATAACCTAGAATATCAAGTCACATAATCTACAAAATCTGCTTTGAACTGGGTTGTCCAAGTCCACATTGCCATATAATCCAGTTCAGTGTGGATTTTATACAGCTGTGTGGAAGGGGCCTCTGGAGACCAGGGTTCAAATCCCAGACTAGCCATGAAAACATACATGAGTGACTTGGACCAGTAATTACTTGGATTAGTCGTGACTTGGACAAGAGGCTGGATGGCCATCTGTCAAGGGTGCTTTGAATGTGATTTTCCTGCTTCTTGGCAGGGGTTGGGCTGGATGGCCCACAAGGTCCCTTCCAACTCTATGATTCTATGATCTATATACTCTCACCTTCAAGGAAAGCAATGACAAACACCCACCCAACAAATTTTGTCAAGAAACGCCAGTGATAAGTTCACCTTGGGGTTGCCATTAATTGGAAATGACTTGAAGGCACACAACAAAAACCAATTTAACTGCAGCTGATTCATTGCCTATATAAATTATCTGGTATTTATGTAATATGCTTTACCAAAGCAAGGGATACTGAGTCCACTAGAACCTATTTTACCATGAGCAAAACGTGGTAGAGAATGGAGATGTGAATATCCAAGGCATGTGCTCTCAGAGTAATGGAAAGCAAGATGAGTTAATACGATAAAAATATGTTTTGCATCATAGCTAAGCCTGCAGTTGATCAGGTAACAAATGTTTCTATGCTCTTGGCCAGCACATTTGGAAAGATCGCCTTACCTCGTATCCACCAAAATAATATCAGTGCTCATTATATGTTTACAGAAACAGAAAACCAAGAGTTTGGAACATAACAATTCTGTGTGTTCTTATGTACCACAGTAAGGTTGCAACGGCTTTACAAGCTTACATTTGTCAATTTTGGCGTGCCTTTACCTCAAGCAGTTTTACAGTACAACATCTCTTAACTGCTTAATCAACAAATAGATAGTTCTTGTGTAAGCAAGGAGTAATCCTTTTGACCTATAGTGGATCACTACAATAAACTTTCTTACTTCAGCAGAATAACAATAATTATTTGAGGTGAACTTCCATTCATGAAAACTGTAGCATCAGTGGAACAGAGGGCCCTTCCTACAGCCATATCAACCAGAATATCAAGACAGAAAATCCCACAATATCTGCTTTGAACTGGGATATCTGAGTCCACACTGCCATATATTCCAGTTCAAAGCAGATAATGTGGGATTTTATTCAGCTGTGTGGAAGGGGCCAGAGATTTCTGACCCAAGTTTGGAAGCCAGTAAAAGGGAAAATATTTTTCTCCACCAAATAATTACAAAATGTTTCTGGAATTCTACTATGAGTGCTACTATAGTCTCAAGGAATATTTGAAGGCAGACTCTAGGTTAGACCAACATGGAATACTCTTTAAAAGCAATGACCCCAGTACAAAGAACCAGTGTTGTGTAGTTCAAATCAACCATGGAAACCTATTGGGTGGGCAACTCACACACACTCAGCCCACCAAAAGATGACAAAGGCAACCCCCTTCTCAACAAATCTTTCTAAGAAAACCCTGTAATAGGTTTACATTAGGGTCACCATAAATTGGAAGCAAACTTGAAGGCAAATAAAAAAATATTGTGTGCATGTACATGTCTTCAACACACCTGTCAAATTATGGCATCTGCATAAATTTCATAAGTTTTTTCTTAGGAAAGGAATCCTCAGTTATTTTTGTGAATTCTTTCCTCTGAAATATAGCCTACAGAACCTGATATTCATTGGCAGTCTCCAATCCAAGTACTAATCAGGATTGACCTTGCTCAGTTTCCAAGATCAGACATCTGGTGCCTTTCAGGTATTCAAGCCAGCTTGAATATTACATAAATTGTCAGAACATTAACAAGAACAATGACTAAGATCATTTTCAAAAGAAAGAGACTCAACATCATGGCAACTTGTGTTCCTTTCAGCTATTTTGCTTAATGCTTCCTCCTGAGTTGTGGTAACTTTTAGCTGTCTCGTAGTCCAATTCCATTTTAGGCATCAATATATTAACAAAGAAGTTTCACTGAAAATGACCTAAATGACTACTTCTCTTGGGATACAGGTGGAGTATTATTATTACATTGCTGTGAAGTATCTCAGTGTCAGAATTACTGAACTGCAGCATCATTCATGTTGCCTCATCCACAGGTTGCAAAAATCATGGAAAATCATTTCCTCCTAGGGAACATATTTCTCATCTGCCTGCCAGGCTTGTCTGATTGCATAAAGCAACCACATTATTTATCTTGTAG